TTAACTGTTAAAAAGAAAACTTGTCTTTAAACAGATATATTGAAAATCGACAGATAATTCCCATTTAAACATTAAAATTAAAACACGAATTTCAGCGAAGGGAGCTGATGTAGTACTACTTGACCGCAAAGAATATTTGGATTAAATGAAGTTAATTCTAGAGGATGGTACTAAATTCTCCAAACCCAAAGAAGTTGATAAAACATTACAAATCGAAAAACAGCTAACAGATGTTGTTAAAAATCTTAAGAATAAGGGGATAATAACCCAAGATTTATATAATCACATACGTCCCATGGGTTCAATCATTCCGCGCTTATATAAACTACCGAAAATACATAAGCCGGGTTTACCGTCACGACCTATTTTGGACATGTCAAGTTCACCATACCACAGAATCGCCAAATGGTTAGCGGAAAAATTGGAACCGGTTAGAAGGCAAGTATGTAAAAATTCTATTCATGATACTTTTCAATTTATTGATGGTATTAAGGACGTTAATACTTCCGAAAAACACATGTTCTCGCTTGACGTTAATTCTTTGTTCACTAGCGTACCTTTAACCGAAACAATATGTTATATATGTGAATATATTGATTCTAACAATGTAGATCTAGGTTTGCCAACTGAACACTTGAAAGAACTATTGTTACGCTGTACCTTTAATGTCCAGTTCAGTTTCAATAATGAAATATATAGACAAAGGGATGGGATCGCAATGGGGTCTCCATTGGGTCCAATTTTAGCAGACTGTTTCAAGGCAAAAGTAGAAAACGACCAACTCCGTTCAATGATCAATCGATTCCACCTATACGTGAGATATATGGACGACACGTTTGTTGTTTGTGACAATAATATTGATTTAGATGATATTCTACACACCTTTAACTCGTGCCACCCTTCCATAGACTTCACGTTAGAAAGGGAACGAGACCAATCAATTCCTTTTCTCGATGTACGTCTGATGAGAAAGAGTAATGGTTCTCTAAAAAGATCCATCTTTAGAAAACAAACATGGAATGGCCAGCTAACCAACTTCTATAGCTGGGTTCCGTTAAGTAGGAGGAGAAACCTTATCCATTCTTTATGCTATCGCATACATCACATATGCAGTAGGAAATGCATTAACGAAGAACTCGCATTCCTCAAGAAGACTTTGACGGAAAATGGTTACTCTGAACGGTTCATAGAAAAGAATATGAATATAAGTAGTCGCGACAAGAATTCTAGTTGTTCCGTTCTAAAGAAAAACCTTTATATTAATTCTGGAATTTAAAGGTGATCGAACATCAGACGTAATCAAAAATCGTCTAACAACGACTATTAGAAGAACATTTAATGCGGCAAAACTGCGAATATCCTTCACTAGTAGAAACTTATTTTCTGTATCTATAAAAGATAAACTTCCGCGTCTGGTCACCTCCATGTGCATCTACCAGTTCACCTGCTCTTGTGGAGCAAGGTACATTGGCCGTAGCCAGCGCTCGCTTTCAACTCGGATACGAGAACATATCCCAGTTTGGTTCTATAAGGGTGAAAGGAAAGCAGTTAAGAGTTCTATACTGGAACACCTAATCGGCCATAACCATTCTACAGATCCACAAATTGATTTTAAGGTTGTTTATATGATTCGTTCAAATCTATCCAGATTTCTTCACATCCAACTTTTAAAAATAGCCGAAGCTCTTACCATCCAGGAGCTTAAACCAGAACTAAGCGTACAAAAGAAGTACGTCTTATCGTTATCGCTAGCTTGGCCTTAAGTATTTTGATTATCCAATTATTATTATTATTATTATTATTATTATTATTATTATTATTACTGCATTCTCCCCTTTACTTATGTCTTATATTCTCATTGTTTTATTCGTGAATACTCATCATATCACCATATTTATTTTCTACACTTCTATGACCTTTAATTATTATAACATAAAAACATTTTAATCATCTAATTATATTCACCAAATCTATTGTTATTGTTATTATTCATATTACATAATCTAGTATTATAACCTTTTTATTAACTTTGTTCACATTTCCTCACGGAATTAGTACTTTTACAAAAACAAAAAAAATTTCATATATATACGATTGTACAAATTCGTTGAAAAGAGATCCTTTCGCTGAAATTCGTGTTTTAATTTTAATATTGAAAATCAATTAGACTCTTTGTATAACTGATATATGTATAAAACTGTTCATCCGTGCACCTCATGACCATACAAACTCATGCACTATTTTTAGGTCCAAAATATTGTTCTTATTCTGACAAGCATAAGTTGCTATCCACGTAAACTGGATTTTAAAAAGTGAGACTATAATTTACGGATGAACCTGTGAAATTAAAGGTAGCAAGTTTTGGATCTCAGTGCGGAATTCAACGTTAAACTTAAAGGTGTGTCTATAGTTTATGAAAGACCTATGCGATGAGCTAAAGTGACCCTGAGAAAACTCACCTACCTACTAAGGTCGAAACAGGATGACAATTTAGTATGAGGAACTAGGGTTAGGATCAATAGTTAGAAGTTAGGGTTTTTATCACGAACGGACGTCAGCTATAATGCTCAGATGCCATTTAACCAAACGGATGGTTGACAATCATTTCAAAGCGGTTATGATTCTCCCCCCCCCCCCGGTTGATGAGGATTTTTAGGGTGTGATTAAAACATTTTGAAATAGGCGATTGACATGCTTTTAAAAGTGTGTGCTCATGTGATAATAAACAAGCATTTTGTCGCCTGTAGTAATTTGTGCATCTTTGTAATCTGATTAGTTCAAGTCCAAATAGTATAAAGTGTTTCGGATGGATGTGAGAATTTTCATTTTTACATTTGAATTTTATTTTGAATAAATGATTTTGTCTGGCTGTTCCATTGGAATTTCGGTAAAAGAAATTTAACTTCTGCGAAAGTAGACGTCAATTCCATTCGAATATCCTTCTATACTACTGTCTGTGAATAGATATTAACATAAAAAGTTTATTTAAATATTTTTTTCAACCATGTAGAAGTGGAACTCTATTCATTGGGTATCACGACAAGAGAAATAATTTGTAGATCACTAAAAGAAAATTTGAGAAAAACTAATAACCGTTTTTACTAGTTGATTATAATGATTACTGAACTTAAACGGTCATAAAATGTTTAATGCACAAGTGTTAAACTGATTTTCATTATAGTATTTCCGTGACTTATTTTAATACAGAGTTTAATCTTGTAATAATCGTTATGTACCTGTAAACATATAAGCAAATCATCGCGATATGATAAAGAATAAGATATGTAATAATCTCGCCAAAACGTCAAAGATCGGTGAATAAATAAACTTTTACACCTTAAATTAATAATGATTTCTGAGAAAGAAGTAAATAATATTTATGATTAGATGATTTTGCCAACAGTAATACAAAAATGTTGTATAGTTTCTCTTTGAAAATGGTATCGTTAATAAACTTTAGGTTAGAACTGTATTATTTTGCATACCCATTAAAAATAAAAATTGTTTCGAACTATACATTGTCCATTCTATATAGTTGAGCAGTTTATAATTAAGATTAGGAAAAAAACGCTTGTTTGTGTATGCAGTAATTGAAATCAGTTATTGTGTTTGGGAAGTGCACAGTAGGTTTTTTCTTCATACACTGTTAATAGCAATTGTTTCGTAAGTATGAAGTAAGACCAAATGGTTATTTTAATTTTTATCATTTCTAAATGACATCGCATACGTTATTTATGAATAACGTCTGGAATCATTTTTCAAATCATCGGTTTTATTTGTTAAACATATTCGAAGGACATTTACAAATTCTATGTACAGATTCGTAATATTTGAATATGCTCATATTAAATTCGAAACAGCTTAACTATTTTTCACAAGTAATTGATATATTAAGTGCAAATTAACAGGCCTACGTCTGACAGAATAAATTTTTATGTCGATTGTACTGCCAAATGAGAATAAGGTCAACTATATCAAATGACATTTAGCAACGTTTAATGTCGATGTAATAAATAAAAGCCTACGTTTGTCTAACTGAACAATGTAAAAAACAATAAAACCTTGTCATAAAAGTTTGTATGTACTAATGTTACATAGTTAAGTGTCCATTAGATGATACAGACATTTGAAAAACCATAAATACAATTATTTTTATGTGAGCGATAAACTCAAATGATTATGTAGCTTAATCACTATGGCCTTATTATAATTCATTAGTGTTAGTTCATTTGACCTTTGCCATAGAAATAATTTTGTTGTACCAGTAAACTGGTCTTAGTACCTAATTTCCAACTTGGTGATGACTTAAACTTATTCGTATCAATTTTCAGTAAACATTTAAAGGTAAAAAAAACTTTTTCATCAGTAATGAATGAATTGTTGTACGCAGTTATCAGACAAAACAGTTAAACTACTTCACTGAGAATGAGGTTTTTAAAAAAACTGTCCCACACCATTTTCTTTGACTAATTGAAACAAAAGAATTTAAATTAAATTGTACGTGGACCTAAAATAGCCTTCACACGATCTCTTAACATTTCAGATTGTCCTGAACAATTACATAACTATTATTCGGTAATCTCGCCGCATATGGGACAATGAAGCATGCACTTTGTACGTTATCATCGTCCATAATTTGAAGAAACAGTGCTCTGTAGACAAGAACTTACATTTTATGTTAATGTTAAGAAATAAATAACTAATTATTACGAATTTATAACTAGTCCTTTAATTGGATGAAACAAAATGAAAATTTTTTAAAAGTGAGATGAAAAAAACATTTTTAAAAAAAAATACAAAGATCTTGTTATTCATACACATGATCCGGTTTCAATATCTTTTGAACAACAATATTTTAACTGAACAGTGCTCAAATGTATTTTTCATTTTATGAATGCAAGACCGACTAGTGATTTACACTTAAATAACGAACATATTTAATAAAAAATACTTGTTAAACAGAACTGAGATATTGCATCAACCTGATCAGATAAAGGAAAATGAACAGTGATACTAATCCGAAAGAAATGTATGTAACTAAAGTAGATAATTTTTTGTCTGGAATTAGTAGACTTTTGAAGCAAAATGAAGATGGCAGTGAAAACAACAGACTTTCTAAAGAGAATAAAAATAATTCTGCAATAGCATCAACGCAATTTAGCAATCTTAAATCTACCGGTGGTACAATACCCAGATTATACGGCTTACCAAACCTACATAAGGTTGGATTACCTGATCGTTTCATTCTAGATATGGCTGGAATGGAACAATATTGTGAATCGAAACCACCGCTCTACGGTGTCCTCCTTGCTACAAGAAATAATGGTTTGATTTAAAAATCATTAAACAGAAAAACTACATGAAACCGACAACTGACAAATATTCACAATCGGGTTTCGATAACGAAAATATAAAATATCATTGAGTTCCTACGCTCACGATATTGTTATTATTCACTAGACCGCCCAGATCATGAACTATTCATTTTAAAACCCACCTTCCTAGAAAATGCATACCCGTTGGGATTTATCGGGTAAAAGATGAAAAAAGAAACAGTCTTCATAGACTAAATATATTGTCCATTAACGAACTCTTTTTGTACGTCTTCAGTTGAGGAGAGATATTCTAATAGCATACTAAAAGCCGTCTGAAGATGTTAGTTCGAAAGACATCTATTAGAGCAAATCTTCGTGAAACTTATCATAGTTATTCTCTTATATATCTTTGTGTGAAATATAAGTTGCCATGATTAACAAATTTAATATAAAAAAAATCAGTTCACTTGTACCCTTGGAGTTGAGTGAGTATATAGGTCGTTCATCGAGGCCACCCCTTTATCGCATTTGAGAACATCTACCAATGTAGGTTACCAGAGGAAAACCGGTCAAACATGTCACCTATTCCACAGCATACAATAGATACAAAGTATTCCGTATCATTCTATGGTATCATTTATAATATCCAGTATGCTTAAACCTACTTTATATTACAGAACCTTTAGCCATCCATAATTTAAAATCCCAGTTGTGTGTAAGGAAACAACTTTTTAGACTATCCTCCTTACCACTGTTTTATTTTATTTTCTCTCATTTATTATAATATCCCACTTCGACATTTACAAAAATGGTTATAGTTGGCTTTATCTTGTTGTTATTGTTATAAAGTTTGTCTCTACTCGGAATTATTAATCACGATTCTCATATTTCCTCTGTTTCAACATAAAGACGGACCCAGAGACTTTGTCCACCCCGCTGATCATGTGTTTTCACAATTGAACTCACGAGTTGACCTAAGCTAAACAACCCTTGAGTACCCGGAAGCACTGGGTTCGAGTCCTGTGTGTGTGATCGTGGATGTGCATGGTTAAGGAGTTCCACACTAAGAAGAAATAGTCGTCTAATGCTTCCAGGTTTTTAGTAGTGGTCTAGCGTAGATCGACTCATGATTTCAGCTGTGAAAATACTACAGTCTCCATACTGATTATGTATTTGTTATGATTAGATGGTGGTTGGAGGTAATCAACATGAAACCCTGGACCCGGGTTTCGTGCTACTTGGCACTCGTCAGCAAGGTGTACCTGTAATCTTGAGGGAACTGGTGCTCCCTGACAGATTCGATCCCGTGTTCTCCACCTTCACAGTTGGAGACGTTACCACTGAGTTATCCGGGCCGCGACCGACCTCCTGTAGGACTGAGATGTAATCATGACTGACCGATCACTGGGTGGTGATCAATGTCATGTGTGTCAAGTCCTTATTAGTGCAGATCGAATGCTATCAACCAAGTTGCAATGTGGCCACCAGTCTAGGTGACTCGACACTGCGTGCACTATGTTGAGATTAGATGGTGGTTGAAGGTAGTCGATAGGTAACCCTGACACGGGATCGAATCTGTCAGGGAGCACCAGTTCCCTCAAGATTACAGGTACACCTTGCTGACGAGTGCCAAGTAGCACGAAACCCGGGTCCAGGGTTTCCTGTCGACTACCTTCAACCACCATCTAATCTCAACATAGTGCACGCAGTGTCGAGTCACCTAGACTGGTGGCCACATTGCAACTTGGTTGATAGCATTCGATCTGCACTAATAAGGACTTGACACACATGACATTGATCACCACCCAGTGATCAATCAATTGTGATGTATTTGTTACGTCTGAACAGTTGTTTGCCTATTTAAAAATTATGTAGTCATAGTCTACACAACCAATAAAGTTTTAGCAAATGCGATTATACGTTATCCCATGATTTACCACATACATATATGAGTGTACAATGTTAAAAACGAACTTCTCGAAAATGGACTCAATTGTTAAATCAATTGTTTTATAACTAATTAGTTTAAGAATAATGTTTATTTGAAGGTAGAAAAAAAACAAATATTATTCTGCCATTTTTCAGAGCTATTCAATAATCCGAATTCCTGACATTATACGAAGCCAGACCCATGTCTCGTTATGAATAATATATCATTCACCTAACGAATAGTTTTAGCAGTTACAAATTCTTATATATGTACGATAAACACAAACGAATGTAAACAAATAAGTAGACATTAAATCACAACTATCAATAACAAGTAGTTCATGATGGAATTTTCAGTATTACTACTAGTATCACATCGATAAATTTTATCTTAAAGTTTCTATCTTGATGAAAAATAAAAATAAATATTACAATATCATGCGAACTACAATAATTATTTCTCAATAAGGAACTAAGTAGTTTCCCTTCTTTCTCTCTTTCTCTAATGCTTATAGGGATGTTTATCCGACAGATTTATCTAAACTAAAAAAGACGACAGCAAACAGATAAACTGGAGATGTGTTTCGTGTTGACCATTCGATTAATTCAACTGAATTATGAAATCATAGATAAATATGTATACATTGTCATTGGCTGATTTTCAATAAAACGGCGCCTAACAATAATCATAAACAACAATGCCTGAGAATTAAACTGTAACGTTTGATACCAGTTAAATATTAGACCAGATCGATAACTATATTTATACTAATGATAGTAACAACGGTGATTTAATGAGTTAAATCACAGTAGCAGAGTAAGGGAACAATTCAAAAGTGTATGAAAGAGCATCTGATCCTTTGTCCAGATTCATTAGAAATAATAAATAATTACTTTGCGTCATCTAAATGGCTGGAATCAAACTGTTCGTCATTTGTACATAAAACATTGTTAAACAACAAATACACTAATCTCTCAAGGCACGAAATTCTAATAAGTATAAACAGTTGGATCATTAAAGGAGCAGAAAGCCCTTTTATGTTCAGGCTGTTTTGAACCTTTGATATTAAATTTGTTATTCAGCATGGATACCATCCAACTACTCATGTTACTAAAAGTAAATACATAATTAAGGGGGAAGAATGTATTTGTAAAATCTCAGCGAATGAATATGAAGTACATCCAATGTTTCTCTTGACAATTTGGTTCAAGATTTTTCAAGGAAATACAATCAAACATCAAAATTATCGAACATAAATAAGTACATGGTTCTTCGGTTAACTGTACATTAAATAAGTCCTATTTTGATGTTTGATTGTATTTCTTTGAAAAAGCTTGGATCAGATTGCCAAGCGAAACGTTAGATTTATTTCCAATTCATTCGCTGAGATTTTACAAACACGTTCTTCCTCCTTAATGTCTTACATCAAATCGGCGCCCAAGTACTGTGAAACTATTCGTTGAAATTTAGTTGAAAGTTCTTACATAAATACATAATTTACATATAATTATATATTTTAAAAATGATTTCATAATTCACACTAGCTTACAGATATGATCGAGTTCACACAAAAGTAGAGACAACATTAAAATCAAAGGGTACAGTATCCGAACGGACGTGATTTATGGGTTACTTTTACCAAAAATGAGTGATGTTGTTGTGAATAATCTGCAGCATTAGATGAACGTAGAATGTATAATCAAACGTAACATCATTTAAAAGTACATCATTATTGACGAAATGTACATGGTAGCAGTCATAAATCTTGTAATCAAAAAGTTATGATTAATAAGTAGTGAATAATAAAGGTTGTGTGTATACGTTAAGAAAGTGGCATAACTGAAGCTTCACTCCCATTTTAGAATGCTAGATATCATATCTCTGTCGTAGAGAACACACAAAACAGTTTTCTCATTCGAATTAAGCCTGCCTTTTCACATCACTTTTGTCTGCAGTATTAAACTGCGGTCATTGTTATTATGTAGAGATGAAGTGTGTGAAATGATTATAAAGACATTTAATTCCTTGAAGGAAAATAAATCATCCACAATAGCAGGTCGATTGTGAGGGAGTTGTACTGTCTTAGTTGACCAGGCGGATTGTGTGGATGAAATAATAGTTATTGCGAATAATAAATCTAGAATCCAGAAATTTCAGGGTCTTTAAGACAAAAATCTTTTAGGACTTAAGAGAGAGTAGTCTCCACTACTGTCTATCATGTGGTTAGGTCATATCTTCCGAACAATAAGAATATTTGGTACTTAAAGGGAACAGTAATTTTGGAATACTCCATATACTGGAAATACAACATTCAATCTGAAATATGTGATTCTTGAAAAAACAACGTATTATATAAACTCTGTTATTGCGAAAATTAACAGTCTTATCATGTCTTATATCCAAGTTTATTTTTTATTGTGGATTAAATTCAACCGGGCGAACAAAGTTCATAAATTTAAAGCCAATTCAGTTAACATTATTATCAGGTGACTAGAACGAGTAATGAACTTCAGATTTTAATTTACACTGAAGATAAAAGGATGGTGATAAGAGCAAACCACAACAACACAATACGCTTCTAATTAAAGCCTTTCTTGAACTCTGTATATTTTTCTGCGTATTTATTTGTGTATTATTTACTAAAATGAAAATGACTAGTCTTAACTGACAATCATTCCAAACGTCCTAGGCATATTATAATAGACAATAATTTATCCAATCAGAACTCTTTACATTTCAAATCAATAAAAGGAAAACATATCAACTATATGATTGGTTCATTTGGTACAATCGGACCATTTGATATTGTAAAAATTTACCTCACTTTATTCTGCTAATCAAGATAAGTTGCAAAAGTTTTGACTAATGAAGACTATTCTATTAAAATGTGCGGAATATCATTTTATTTTTAGAATACAACCAAATGAATTAAATTTCATCTGGTCTTGTCAGTAAATAGACTATGATCATTTTTAATGTTACTGACGTAAAAGAGATAGCAATGAATTAATTTAATTGTAAAGGTTTTTACTCAAAGCAGTCTAATATTCAAAATGAATAAATTCTAATATAACAGGCAAACTAATTATGGAGTCGTGATTTTTTTACATATATATCTATACATTTCTATATCCTTTCTCCCAATGGCAAATAAATATTCTGGATTTTTAATAGTGTGTATTACATACCATATCGGTAAGTAGTGTAAAAACTATTAATAATACTCAACATTTTCATTATAAATGCAACTTTTATTAATTTTGTTACGGTTAAAGGGTTTATTGAATTCCAATTCGAGATTTATAAGCCAGTGTATGTTCGAAAGATTAATTTAATTGGAAATCAATTTAAAGTGTTTGGCACTTACATTCTGCTATTAAGAAGTGAAATTTTTATTAATCATGAGTCTTTTGAAGACAGTTACTTAGATGGATAGCAGTAATTCATTGTTATAAATTTTTGTACTACAAAACTACTGATGGAATTTATGATTTTGTGGCTTATATGCTCTCGTTGAGACATCCAATGGAATTTGAAAATCGACTCTCCAAAGTTCGAGAACTGTCCTCAGATGTCATCTAAATACTTTTGAAAGATTGTCAAAATGATCAACCAGAAATTTCAGTACTTAGCACTAAACCTGATAAAAAGAAACATTGTAGACCAGCCTTTGTTTGAGTTCGCTGTTGGAATAAGTCTCCAGATATCTACCATTTTCGGTTAATCAAATGAGGGTTTATTCGACCTCAACTACTTGTCCAAACATGATTCTTTTTTATCTTTTTATATACTATATGCCCATTTCTTTTCGATCATTAGATTACAAAATGATTACTACGTATAATGGACTTTATAACCACGTTCATATAAAATCATAGTCAAATGATATCTAGTGTTAGGAAAACATTACTGTTAAAGTGTTTGGTGTCCATTCTTCCTACGCTTTCAAAATTTATATTCGTGTAGTGCTTTTGAAGTCCTCATTCTCCTTGGTTTCATAAAGTTTTCCTGTTATATGTAACAATCTTTCAATCGTGATGGTGTAAGGATTGCATCGGTTACCTAATTAAAATAAAGGATTTAAACATAATATATAGATAAAAAGAATGTTATCAGTTTTAATTATTTAAGGCATAAGTGTGTACTGCGGGTGAGGATTATTCTAAGCAATTTCACTTTATGCGGTGAATATTATTAACTTACGTGGTAAATCAATCAAGTAAGATCGGAAAACAAGCGTTCATTATAAACTCAGGTGATTCGCATGTACCCACTGCTCCGTTGAATATGCTATTTATTTCTTAAATTCACATTACTAATCTTATTGCTAGTTAAATATAGGTGAGATTTTTAACTCTGGACATTGTTCAATCTTAAAATCCTATTAACCTATAATGATTACTTTTCACCCTGAACTTGAACTACCATTGAAAAATTGTATGCGTTGATTATAAAAACTTTTGGCTTCTGATATTTGACTGGAGTACGAACTGTATTTTGGAGCAAATGCATAAGTAAGTAGGGTGGATACGGATTTATGATGCACCAGTCGGATGGAAATGGATGATTACCGGTGATTAGATTTCTTCTGGAAAGTATATCAAAGTATTAAATAGAAAAAAATTAATAAAATAACATTTTATAGGAAAATTACGTACATAATTGCATTGCGCATAACATTTTAAAGTTATGTCGCAATCTAATTCTAATGAGATTGCTTCAACTTCTTGTTTAAAGGTAACTAATGAAACTGTTACGCGCGGCGTTTCGAAAACCTGTGCATTTGTATTGGGGCGTTAGCAAATAAAATTGCAAATGATGACATAAATCAGATATTTGACATTATGCACTAAACTGTTGTAGTCTTCACTACAGTTGAATTGTTATGAAAGTACGGATTGCTATTATTGTATTGGTTTTGAATAGAAGTGGTAAAGTTTTCCTCTTACAAACAATTATACATTTCATTTATATCTCTGACAATGTAAACTAATTAACAACATTTAGTTTGCAGAAAATTCAACAATATATATTTTATATTTACAAAGAAGTTGTTCAGTTAGTAATCCCTAGTTATTTATTTTATTTTATTTGAACACATATATATTGGTACAAGGTAGCACTAGATATATATGCGCCACACAAATCTCATTTGTTTTGTTTGAGGGCCGTGATACTGCCCGGGTGCCCAAACCGAAGCAGGTGGTTCTCTTAGGTGGACACACCCGGAGCCTTGGACCTGAAGGTCTGATCCACAAGGTAGTGGAGCACCGTAAGGAGATGCGGTCCCATGGTAGCCGGTGACCAACGACTGGTTCATATACCATTTGTTCCCTCAGGATACTGGAGCCTATGTGCACCAGTGGTTTGGAATCAGGGTTTTCCAACTCCTCTGGGTGGACTCTCTGTGTCCACCGACCCGGTTAAAACACTGGATATTCACTTTTCTTTCTCTCAATTTCGCAAACAACACCTCTGCCACGGGAAGGCAGTGAGTAGGACTTCCCTGGCAGAGGCTATACACCCGTGGCCATGTGAGAGCATTTCGAGAGGGAGAGCGGACTCTCCTCACTCTCGGCCGTACCAGGGTATTTGGGAGGTTGCATTTTATGTAGACTTAGTATCGGTAACGGTTAAGCAAGTCATCGGTTGATATCAGTACGGATTCACATTCTCGATATCGACATTATGTCAGAAAAACGTCTTTCATTTTCCAGTTTTTATGATATCTACAATTTACATACTATTCACCTTATTGCTATTATTATAAATATCATTTTCATTCTTTCTTTTGACCTCAGCTTACTTAATTGTCATTGTACTTATTCAGTATAATTGTTAATCGAAGCAAGAAAAGTATTTTCCATAATTATCGATAGTTTATCATATTTGTAAAACCAAATAGTTTTTATCACTTCTAAGTAATAACAGATGAATCAGTCTACTGAATAAGTTATTATTTAAATAAATAAATAACTTATTCAGTAGACTGATTCATCTGTTATTACTTAGAAGTGATAAAAACTATTTAGTTTTACCATCTTTAAGTCCGAATTCACCTTATGCTAACCAGAACCACAATCCAATGTTGAGAAACTTGTGTTAAGTGAAATAATTTAAACGTAAACTGCACCAAAGAATATTTTACCGCCTCATAACAGACATTGAAATTAAGTTGGTGTATTTCTTCCAGTTATCTTTCGTTGTGAACTCAGGGTAAATAACTGTACAACATTTAAATACAGAAATGTCATTATACTAACCGGGTTCGATTAAATCAAATATTCTAATTCTATTACTTTTCTGCAAAAAGAAGTTCAAATAATTTAAGTGAGAAAGATCGAATTAAATGAGTGCCTTATCATGTAAAATAGAGTACAATATACCTATAACAACTTACTACGTATTTAATTTGCCAATGCTCTTTCCTGTCAATTGAAACAATTAACTTTGTACTAAAAAGATAAAACTTGGTTTAATACTGACTAAAGTATTCAAAATTACAACACTCTTCATAGTTCTTTTGAAGATATCTCACGAAATGTGATTGAATGTAGAAAAAAAATGCATTCAAGTATACTTGGTAATACTATAATCCTGAAATTTTGATTAGGATTATCAACCGTTACTTTTACACCTTTTTCATGTGTAATTAAGAGATACTATCCATTGGAGACAGGGGCCTAGATAATAAACAATTCATGTACTTTCATCACTTCTAAATAAACTATCCATTTATCGTGAAAATCCAAACAAATTATTATGGTAAATATGCTGAATAGATAATTAGAATAACAGAATGATATTATGAAACATCTATAAGAATACCTAACCAGAGCCCGAGCTAGTTAGTGTGTAATGATCAGTTTCACTCGACTAATCCTCTCTGTTAATCCGAAGTGATAAGTGAAGTCAGAATGATAATACTGTGTTGTATGGTCGTCTGAGTTTGATGCCAATAAATATACTTCTTATATGCGAGCTCAACAAGCTACTGGAATGGAAAAAACAAAAGTAAATCGGAAGCTTTTATCAACTTACCTGAATTATATATATGTACAAATTCATTAATTAATATAGGTATGGGTCCTTTAGAAAATTAATCCAGATCTTGAATAGTCAAGTTCTTTAATCAGTATCTATCGTTTATAATTTGGTCCTGCACTGATGGTCTGATTGGTCATTCTTTGAAAAATGCCTGATATTTTGACTCATTACAACAATTAGGGTGGGGTACATTACCTTCCTCTGTTGAAAAATATGTAATACCCCAAGAATGAGTTGAACCGGATGACAAATAACTTGTAGCTCTACTCGATTTCTATTATGAACGTGGAGTATGGTTTATGAAAATTATTTTGCGATAACTTCAATGTAACAATTTCAACTAAATGATAAGCGACTTGTCTTGCTGACTAACTTCTACCATCTTATAAAACTCAATTTCATAGAAAAATGGGTCTGCTTAAGCTCGAAAATATCTTTTCCTTACAATTATAAATAATCAAGGTTTCCATTTTAAACCACTATGCAGAATATAGTGGATAAAGTAAGTTCAATGTTAAAGAAAGGGTGGTTTATGTCATTTGAGACTGGATTTATCAAGATGAATGGTTTTTGGTTTTTTAATATGATTTCAAAATCAGAGTGTGATTTAAGCTTATCGTCAGATAAGCAATTTTTCAGTACTCGACTGATTCTATATTGCAGTAACGGTTCATAATAGTATGTCATTACTTAAATAACATGCAAACACTAGCACCTAAAGCCTAGAAATTCGAAGTCAGCAAGACCACGCATATAATACAAACATATAACGGATATAACCAAACATTTTGACCGTACAATAATTAAGCCAAATACTTCTAACTGTTGTGGAACGAATACTGAATATTGACATGAAAACACTAATTCAACTTATACTTACTTTATTAAACCTACTGGGTACAAGTTGCTAAAAAACTAAAGTGACATTGCAAGAAATATTGAATAATGTCAGTATTCACGAGGTATGAATCAACCTTTTTTGTTGAATTATTCAACGATTTCTCACAAAGACATTTCTAGACTATGCTTAACTTTAGCTCAAATATATGCATCGATGATTCATGACCATCTATTTAACATTTGAAGTCGTTTCACTTTACACATCATGACGTTCAGATAACAACATTTTCGGATTGTTGTTATGTAGA